GAAGATTACAGAGTTTCGAGGGGAGTCGATGGCAAGAAGGGAAATCTCCTCTTCGTGGAGAGAGCCTGTTTGAAGAGAGATTGGTAGAGTCTGGAATTTTATGTGTCCCTCTCCTAGTGGGCGCCCGTCTACAGCAGTGATGGCTAGGGAGGAATCACAGGAGGTTAGAGGAATGGAGTGAGTGATAGCAAACGTGTAATCGATAAAGTTGCCAGCGGCTCCTGAATCGATCATGGCCATGGTCACAATCTCATCTCCTTTGTGTTTCAAACTGACAGGTATACTCATAATGTCATTAGTGGTCGTGAACATTGTGGTAGCACTCACCGGAAGGGTTTTAGGGGGAGGCTTGTTGGGACATAAAACCTTAGTATGACCTGGAAGTCCGCAATAGATGTACAGGTGATTTCTCCTCCTTCGTTCTCGTTCCTCAGGATTCAGGCGGGTTCTGCCCAGTTGCATGGGTTCAGCGGAGGTTTCAGGGGATACAGGACTGGAAGCAATTGAGCACAGTGGGTTATGAGTGCGGAGGAGAGTGTCTAACCTTATGGATAGTTCAATCAGCTGGTCCAGTGTTTTTCCCTCGTCACGACATGCCATCTCTTTTTGTAGTTCTGGTTTCAGAGCCTTTCTGTAGAGCGTAGTAAGTGGATCATCAGCCCAGCCTGTTTGCGCTGCCAGAGTGCGGAAATGCAGTGCGAATTCAGCTGCAGAGCGATCTCCCTGTTGGATAAACAATAGCTCCTTGCCAGCATTACGACCACCCTCAGGGTGATCGAACACAGTGCAAAAACGTTTGAGAAAGTCTTTAAACGAGGGAAATATCGGGGTGCTGTCTGGCCAAACTGCAGTAGCCCAGTCTAATGCTTTCCCTGTGAGCAATGAGGACACAAAAGCAATTTTCCATTCTCATCCTTCAACAGATGGGGCTGTTGGGCGATAAACAGTTTACATTGCAACAGAAAGCCTTTACATTTTGCTTGGTTACCTGAGAATTTGTCAGGAAATGCCAATCGAGCTCCGGAGACCATCGGGGGTTGTGTCACAACAGGTGGGCTCCGAGAGTAGTTGGCGGTGAGTTGCGCTGTGGGAGCAGCTTGCAGGTTTTGCAGTGATTTTCACAAGTTCGTCTGTCAACTGAGATAAGTGCGTTAGTTGCTGTTGATGAGTGGTCAATACCTGAGCTTGAGCTGTGACTTCGTGAGACAAATCCTGTATGGCAGCGGGATCCATGTTGGGCGAAGTCTTCTGTAACGGGGAGACTGACACGGAGGGATCCATTTGCAGTATTTATTAAGTCACACTTAATCAACATACAACACGCACGACTGTGCGAACAAACAACATACACATCAATGAGAATGGGCTGGAGATGACAGACACAGAGTGATTACCAGGCATGGGTCAGAGGCAGGCAGCGTGATTCAGAGTCCATGTAACAGGCTTTGGTCAAGGGCAGGCAGCGAGTATCAGAGTCCGTGTAACAGGCTTTGGTCGTGGGCAGGCAGAAGACAGAGCAGAGCCAGGAAACGGGCTGAAGTAGTAAACGGGAGATCAGGCAGGATAGAACGCTCAGAAATGCTGGCCGGGGCTAAACAAGACTTCGCACAGAAGAGAGAGTGTGAGCTGCTTATAAAGGGTACGTGGGTCATTAGCGGAATGGATATCAGGTGTGCTGGAATCAGAGTGGAGGGATGACGTAATGTTAGAAGTCCGGAGATGGTGGCCTCTGCTGGCCAGCGAGGGGAATGACTGGGACCGAGTCGGTGACACTAACCAACAAATGATCAAAGAAAATGTATTAATGTAATACAATATGAACTGATTTTTACTTTAAACTGTAATTATTTATTATGTATTATTTATTAATCATTCATACAGTTCAATGAACGCAACCTGTGGTAGATTATTAAAGACACAAACCCCTCACTGCATGACAGCTGCACTTGTAGCAAACCTCTTAAGTCCTGCAGCGCGATGACTTTATGATTGTTTATGAGCGTCAAAAGTGGCGGATCTGTTCGGCAAAATAATTAACTGCGTGTCACCGCATCCCAAATGATTTACGTGAAGTTTATTTATAAACTAATTTCCAGAGGATCACGTGATTTTGATTGAACACGGCTGGTTCTGCATTAGCATGTATGATCCACCAATCACGGCATTCCTAACCCACTGTAAAGAGCCAGGGTTTCCCACTACAGTCATCTTCAATTTGAAGAATCCCCCCTTCCACCCTTACCTCTCCAGCTTTCCCTTCAAAGGGTGGCACGGTGGCCCAATAGTTAGCACTGTAGCCTCACAGCCAGAGCGTCACCGGTTCTAGTCCTTTAACAGGCCAGCTGTCATTTCTGTGCATAGTTTGCATGTTTTTTCCGTGCTCGCGTGGGTTTTCCCCAGGTTCTCCGGTTTCCTCCCACATTCCAAAAACATGTACTACAAGTGAATTGATCAATCTAAATTTAGCACTACAGTCAAACTCTCATCCAGCAGCACAAATTCTGTGAGTTAGCCCTCAAACAGGAGGAGTGAAATGTTACAATTCAGCCCACAGTCGGGGTTAATTGTAACGTTATAAAATGAGAATTATGACATAAAAATGGATTTGAAAGCTTTTTATTCAGCATTGAGCTTTCAGTATAGTTTGTGTGTCTCTGTGTTACAAAGCTGAATGAAATGTGCAAATGTGCATCAGCTTTAACAATTGAACACTATTTTTGTTTGCAGGCTTCATGAGCCCACAGAGGTCAAACACTGAACTCAAACTACTTTTGACTTTCTCTTTTATAAGCTATAGCAATACTGAAATTAAATCATATAAATACAGTTTTAAATCTGCTTGAGGTTGGTGGTAACATTTCACTGATGTGACTAGCAAGTTACTAGCTTTTGTTGTTTCAACTGACCCAGCATTATGTGGCCATGAATCTGTTCTCCTACAGCTAACAGCTAAAACATTATCACCAACAATGTGGATTAAGTATATCCACAATCAGACACACAGATTACATGGGTTTAACTACAAATCAGGCAATGATATCTTAAAAATAATTAATTAGCTAATCTTAGCTGAAGTGTAGTTTTTCTGTCTAATATCTGCTGTGTCTGTCACAGGACTTTTTCATATGTGGTATGAGGACTAAAATGAGCATGTGTGAAGTGAATCAGCTGATTTGTAACTAGTTCCTTGTTGTAGAGATTGTAAGTGTTACAACTATCCCCGGTCTCTCTCTTCAAATCTAAGAGCTCTATTTTGACGGTCCATGCGCAGAGCGCAAAACGCAGGGCGCAAACGGTTTCAGGGCGTGTCAGAACGCATTTTTGCTAATTTAAAGAGGAGAAAATCTGCTTTGCGCCGTGCTGCATGGTTTAAAAGGGTTGAGTTTATTTTCTTAATGAGTTATTGGTGTGTTTTGAGAATAAACCAATTAGAGTTCCATCTCCCATTCCCTTTAACAGCCAGCTGCGTCGCGCCATAAGCGCATTCGCTATTTACAGGACGCAAAAGTAAGTCTAAGTGGAAAAACTGAGCATTTTACTAGCAAACAGTTAACATTTTTTTAACAGAAAACTGTTCAACAGAGCATCTACTGCATGAGAAGGAGAGATAATCGCGATTAATTGCGTTTGTTAAGCGCAAATATTCGTTTCAAAACTATTTCTAAATTCAGTTCTAATTTCCAGCAAACGAATAAATGAACAATAATAACGAAGTGTGTTCAAAAACCTGAGTTATATCCTAAAACACATGCTGTGCCCCATATGGTCTAAAACCTGACAGGTGGGCAAATCTAAGCTTGTTTTTAATAAAACAAATATAAATATGGATAAAATAAATAATACTGCTAATAATAATAACATTATACAAAAGCAAATTGTTATGAATGAACTGAAAAAGCCCCCCGAGATGAAGAAGACATAAAAGCAGTGATTTTTCATATTCATGTAGGCTAGAAAATAATATGTTTTGTAATATTTTAATCCTTTATATTTATATCCTATATCTATTCTTATTATATCCTATATCCTTATTGTTTATTTTTTTTCATATGTAAAGATATTTGCCTATTGCTCTCTTGTGCGTATTAAGCAGTGTGTAAGCGAGGCGCCGGAGTTTAGACCGGGTTTGTTTTGGTCTAATTAAAAATCTATTTTAGTTTCGCAAAATAGCAACGCGCCAGCAATGCGCCTGAGAACGCCTTCCTTTTTAGACCAGAACGCCTATGGACGCACATATGAGCGCAAATGCATTTGTTATTTAAACAGCGAAGCGCAACGCCTCAAAACCACTCTTGCGCCAAGCTGAAACTAGCAACAGACTATTGCGCCGCGCCTTGCACCACATTGCGCCAGGTGTATGATAGGGCCCTAAACATTAACTTGTATTTGAAATATAACGTTCACAATTACAATTTAAATTAGAGATTAGATCTGCTTACAGCAGTACAGGGAACATCCAATGCTGATCATATCTGTGTTATCATACGCATCAAAGGGTAAAAGGGCGTTATATATTTTTTTAATATATATATATATATATATATATATATATTTATTTTTTTTTTTATATATATATAATATATTTTTAATTATTATTCTGTGATTCCTCCGTGCACCACTAGAAGAAAGTCTGCATACCACACTTTAAGAACCACTGGTATAGATAGATAGTTAGGCCTTGTCTGTGTCAGGTTTTTCCTTTTTCAGCTAATGGAGGGCAGGCAGAAGAGGGAGACTCACAAGAGCATCGGTGGACATTTATCTAGAAAATGCTGGAGAACAGCAGGTAGGGCTCTGTCAGTACTGTCTATGGGTGCGTTCCAAATCACATACTTGTACACTATTCTATGCCATTTTGTAGTGTAAATGGTGTAAGTAGTGTGTTCACACTGAAATATTCTTTTTTTTGGCTTTTTTGCCTTTATTAGATAGGACAGTAATGGGACAGGAAACGAAGTGGGAGAGAGAGAAGGGTGTAGGGTTGGGAAATGTCTTCGAGCTGGGATTCGAACTCCGGACGACCTATTGTGCTACTGCACCATATGTCAGCGCATTGACCACAAGGCTATTGCGCTGACAATATTCTTTTATTTCAAAAAAGATTAAGTTCACTTTAAATTCCTGAATGATGCACTTATTTAACCGTTTAAAAGAAGTGTGGACTGTGCACTTGGGGCTGTCTTTGTTTGTTTGCAGATTGGAGTGGAGCAGAAGAAGGAGACTCACAAGCGGAATGGTGGAGATATACTGCAAGACCTGGAGCTCAGGAAGCAGGTAGAACTGCTTGAACAGACTGAACAATGGAGTTTGTTTTCAATATTAAATAAAGACCTGATATCTTTCTCTTTGACAGGTTGGCATGGAGCATGTGGAGGAACAGGGAAACGCACCTTAGTAATGACAAGTGCATCGTAATAAATTAGATACAGCCTTAAATTTTTTAGGTTGAATCAAATTAACTTTATAAAACATTTAAAATCATATACTTTCATTTGTACATACTAGGTGATGGTCTGGTATCTCTTTAAGTCAGATAAATGTCTTGTTTGCGGCAGGTGTTTCTTTTTCCTGTAATGGACACACAACAGACAGAAGAAGGAAACTCACAAGAGCATCGGTGGAGATTTGTCTGAAAACCGCTGGTTAACAGTTTATGCATTTCTGGAGTTCAGCAAGCATGTAGAGCTCTGTTAGTTGTGTCTTTATCTTTTCCAGGCTGGAGTGCAGCATGTGGAGACAAATAGGAATCACACACCTCAGCAATGGACACTGATGGTCAGGAATATCCTTTAAAGGCAGATGAATGGGTGCATGGATGGATGTCCTTCCAAGTGGAAGGGGGTGGTGGTGGGCATAGATTGTTAGATATATGTATTGTCTGTGGCTATTATTTACAACTACAAAAGGCAGAAGAGTCATACTCACAAGCAAAATGGTTAATACTTATCTTAGGAACACTGAAGAACGTTTGGTTTATTGATGCAGATCATCCAGCAAGTAGAGCTTTGTTAGTCTTGTTTTTGTCTTTTGCAGATTAGACTGGGGCCTGTGGAGAAATGGGACTCGCACCTCAGCATGACTGGAAACTGATGGTCTGGGCTGCGTTTCCCAAACAACGAAGTAACTCACGGCTAAACTATAAAAGTCTGATGCATCGTTTGAGAAAAGAATGATGTAGTGACGAGTGTTTCCTAAAACCTGTAGTTTCTCTGTCGCAGATTTATCGCTTAAACCAGGTTAGTTATAATTATGATAAAATGCCCGTAATGATGCTCTAAACTACTTCTTTACAGAAAAGAAACTTAATTTATTTGTGAAAATTATACACGCACACGCATTTAAAATAGAATTCAATATTAGATTTAGTAAAAATATGCACTCGCTTTCCATATTAACTGAAATATATGTAAATGACACAAACAGGGCTAATGTTTGCTTTACTAATATTATTGAGAAGTTAAACATTACACATTCTATTCTAAAACATATCACTTACAAAAGCTAACACGTATTCTAATATCATATAAATCATAAAAATAAATAAATAATAAAGGCTATTTATTATAAAATGAAATGTAATATTAATTATTTATTAGAAATGAAAAAATGATACTTTAATAATAATATTAATGATGGTGATAATGATGATTCTTATTATTATTAAGAAGGATATTTATTTATTTATTATTTTTTTAAATCTACTTTTACAATTTAACACATGTAAACCACTTTAGAAAGTTCTAACTGGCAGGCCCATGTCATATACAGTACAGATACTTAATAAATGACCCAATATAAATGAAAAGAATTACCGTATGCTTTTTGTTTTCACAAGCTTTGGAGACGTAACATAAATTCCACTTTTAAATAATAGGTCACCTATAGCTTTCACCATGAGGCTGTGTTCGAAATGACATCAATGTTTTCAAAGTGCACTGCGAAGGGAGCACAGTTGTAAACTGTAAGATCTGTAAGATCACGAAAACTGAACTGTAAAAATAGTTTGAACGCAAATTACACCTAAGAGAGATGACTTTAATATTTTTTTTATTTTTTAATAATTGCAACTTTGAATGTTAAAATGTTCTAAATGAATAGGGCATAGGGGGAATAACTGAGAATAGAACATAGTCAGGAACAATGTTTCTAACTACAGCTCCAGATAGTTGGAAAGATGTCTTCTTTGTGGCAGCAAAAGTATCTTAAATCAATCAAATGTAAAGACACAACTGGAATGATTTAATTATGTTAATCATTTTGAGAAAAAAGTATTATTATAATACAAATATTAAATAATAATAATAGTTTTATTTATAATATAATTCAAATTTTAATTTAAAATATTCAGTATAGCTATTTATATATGGGTAAATAAATGTTTTTTTTTGGGTGGGGTGCAGTTGAGGGGGGCTCGTGGCCCAGTAGAGCTTTACCCCTGAGACTAACAAGAGGAACAGTGGAGATAAACTGGAAGACCTGGAGCTCGGCAAAGAGGTAGAACTGCTTGAACAGACTGAAAAATGGAGTTAGTTTCCAAAGAAATTTATTGAGATTAATTATAGACCTGATATCTTTCTCTTTGGCAGATTTGTACGAAGCATGTGGAAGAACAGGGAAACACATCTCAGTAATCACAAGTGCATCATAATAAATTAGGTACAGCCTTACATTTTTAAGTTGAATCAAATTAACTTCATCAAACATTTACAATTTACATATTTATATTTTTACAGAGTGATAGTCGGGTATTTTCTTTGGACGGACGGACGGATAGATAGTATTGAACAAGCAGGTAGAGCTCTGTTGATGTTTTCTTTGTCTTTTACAGAGTGGAGTGGAGAATCTAGGGAATCACATCTCAGCAATGATAAGAAACTGCTGGTCAGGTATCACCTATCACCGAAAGATGTCCAAGAGGAAGGGGGTGGTGGTGGGCTTGAGCTGGGCTCAGACTATAGGAGTTTTAAAAACCAAACCAATAATGAAATCTGGTTGCTGTGAACACATGAGGAGAATCTTTGGCTAATTTTTAGCCCACCTCAAATCTTAAATATGTGCAAAGTACAAAATATGAAAACTGCGCCACAGCACACAAGATATTAAGGTTATCCTGACCGATGGAGCACATCACTCTCTTTGTCAAAAATTACTATTTATTATTTTACTAATATTAGATTATTAAATTATGCGGTGGTTCGGTTCTGGGTTTTTCGGGGTCGACTGCTATTCTCGACTCCTAATTTTGGAGTCAGTAGAATCGACTCAAGAATCGACACCTTTTACATTCACTTAAAATAGCGCAAGGATTAAACATGCTGTATCATATCGTTCTTTATACAAGCAGTTCTCCTGTGGTCAGACAAAATCAGCATTTTAAATCATCTGCAGTCAAAATAAAATAATAATCAGCCTATACTTTTTTTAATTTAGAAAATTAAATTGCAATCTTTGAGACAGAAAGTTAAAACCTCAATTTATTATCAAAATATTTAATGAAAAGATGTGTAGCAGCAGTTCAATAACAAATTAAAAAACACCCCAATTGAGCCCAAACAACGCTTAAATAAAAATCATGAAATACCCTTAATATCTTCTTAATATAAATGTTTGATACATGAATACAGAGTATGAGTGAACAAAATAATCTGGAGTAGTGAACAGTCTGAGGTTGTTTAGTACTATATTTGTTTTAAAGGCAACAGATGCTCTAACTCAGGGGTGTCCAAACTCGGTCCTGGAGGGCCGGTGTCCTGCAGATTTTAGCTCCAACTTGCCTCAACACACCTGCAAAGATGTTTCTAGAAAGCCTGGTAAGAGCTTGATTAGCTAGCCCAGGTGTGTCTGATTGGGGTTGGAACTAAACTTTGGAGGACACTGCCCCTCCAGGACCGAGCTTGGACATGCCTGCTCTAACTGATCAATAAACAATATAGCTAGATTTCAATTTGATTTAATGACCGATTAAATATTAACCCCCTACACAAAATTCATAACAAACCTAAAATAATAAATAAAATCAGCTGTACCTCAAAACATATCATATTGCTCTCTCTTGTAAATTAGATTTTTTTAATGTGTTCTTTTAAACAGACTATTACTTTACTTTTAAATATCACTTTTGTTTTGTGCAATTTGTTCATTGTAGTTAAATAAGGGTTTGTTTATGGGACAGCATAAGCCGGAAGAAAAGGAGTGAGTCAGAGCTGTTTTTGAACTTAGCCTTGTCTCTATTTGTATTTAAAAATCCTCTTTTTGAAATGAATTTCGTTTGTTATCAATTGTATTTTAATTTTAATGTATTTAATTTGTAGTTATTTACAAAATAAACAAGAAGAATAGCCCAAATATTAGAGCTAAATTGTATTGATAACACAGCAAACTTGACATCGCAGGCAGATCATCTTTAAAACCAAATTGCACAAAGTTGTGTTTCATAGGTATTTAAAAGTGAAAGCAAACTTTGTCTGCAGCACTAAATTCATAATTGCCTTCAGAGTTCATCGTGCTCGAGAATGAGCATTATAACTGCAGCTTAAAACAGCTTCATTCTGGAGGATTTGAAAAAAACAGACTCAACTCTCATATTCCTGTCCTGAAGTCGATTTCAGTACTAGGTTCATTGAGAGTCGAGGAGTCGACTCCCCGTCCCTAATGCCCAGACAAATGTCTAATAATAATAATAGACTTATAATCTCTCCATCATGCCACGATGTGCTGTGCTTTCTTGCTCAAAAGCTAAATTGTTACCTGTTGCACTGCCTATATTGTGTGGGAAAATAATCTGTTATAGCAAATAGAGCTACTCTATGTCGGTTTACGGCACTAGACACAGGCCTCACAGAAAAGATATATCTGTGATTTCTAAAAGCACATTTTAATGTTTAAGCTTTTTGTTTTTTGGAGATAACTGGCAATTTAGTAGGCATAGCTACCCAGCTACATCTGGCTCATAAATATTCACACACAGAATAACGTTAGTGGCTAATGAAAAATTTATCATTTAAGCTTATTATAAATGAATTATATTTATTTATTTTATTAAAGTGACGTGATTCTCTTCAGCTCTTTACTGATGCTTGGAGTTCGTTGTCCTATCCACAAACTGAATAACTCACTTTTTTAATAACTTATTATTAATTTAGTAATATTTGACCAACTGCCACTACAGGAAAACACTAATATCCTGCACTCGAAATAGGCTACACTACGTCTCAGTTTGCGTAGCTGTTCATGCAGTTAGCCTGTAAAATTAAATTAACACACGCAAGTTGAGCCGCAAGTGTCTTTTAAATTTGCTCTCACACACAAACATTCATTTCATAAATGCGTATTATATATAGCTAATAATAATTGGCAATTGGGATGTTTATAAGGGTCTGACATGCAGGCAGTGGACAGCAGAATGAAGAAATGTTGATTTGATATGTCTAAACGAATGTTCAATTATAATTATATCAATTATTCACACACATACACTATGGCCAATTTAGTTTATTCAGTTCACCTATATCGCATGTCTTTGGACTGTGGGGGAAACCAGAGCACCCAGGGGAAAACCACGCGAACATGGGGAGATCATGCAAACTCTACATAGAAATGCCAACTGACCCAGCTGGGACTCAATCCAGCAACCTTCTTGCTGTAAAGCGACAGTGCTAACCACTGAGCCACCCTGTCACAGTGATATTACTATTTATGACAATAATTGAAATCTCTCCATCTCTTGCTGCGATGGCTGTGCTGTGTTTGACTGGCAATAGCTCGGCTTTTGATAGCTAGAGCCTCTTTAAAAATGAAATTGTACCTGTCACGCATTTAATAAGCCCAGTAGTGTAGAAAAATAAAATAATTCACTCAGTGCAACACCCCTGATCTTCAGTTATCACTTAC